GTAAGAAGCTGCTGAACAAAAGTGGATTGGGATTTTTTACCTAGGTTCATGTTACAATTTCTAATAAATAAATGATCTTTTTACGGACAATTTGCAATAATTATCACTGTGAAAAATTCAGCACATTGTGAACATTCATACTCCAAAGCACTCCTTGGAGGTGAAAGGTTGTGACGGTTAACTTGGGGTGGGGGAGGAGGTGCTAGGATTGAACCCAGGGCCTCAGACATGTAAGGTTAGCACTCTACCCCGGAGCTATATCCCTGCCTATCTAGATTACTTACTTTAAAACAGGGGAGTAAAATGTTAATGTCATTTCTTTTTTTAAACCAGTGAAGTTTTTATTAAATGCACAGAAGTAAAAACCATTTCTTGAGGGACAGGTAGGTAGTGCTAACCAGGAGCCATAGCAGCAGCACCATGCTTAATAACAGTGAGGTCATAGTCCTAAGTGGTGGTGCCTGGAAAGACTTTGAAGATGGGTGCCTGCCTGTCAGCTTCAGGTTCAGGTGTTCGGGGCTCAAGTGTGTAAGGTTGTCATTTTGTATTATATCATTTTGTCATGAATGTGTTTTGAATTGCTTGTTAAAAGGTAGCTGTCACCAGGCGTGGTGGTGCATGCCTGTAATCCCAGCACTCAGGAGGCTGATGCAGGAAGATCACTGTGAGTTCAAGGCCAGCCTGGGCTACAAAGTGAGTTTAAAGTCAGCCTGAACTGCATAGTGAAACCCTGGCTCAAAAAAACATAAGGAAAAAATAAATAAATAAATAAATAAATAAATAAATAAATAATAAATAAAGGGAGCTATAATTTCCAGCTTCTAGAGTCATGGAGACCCTCATTTTTGTCTTAGAGCAGCTTGAATTTCATTCCCAGGGTATGTCACTTTCAAATGTGCTAATGTTGTCCTCACATTACAAACAGCTGTAACTTGGAACCTCAACATGAACAACACGAAGTCCTACTATTGAAAAGAATTTCTTAACTACTACCTGTGTGACCATATCAGGCCCCTTAACATCTTAGCTTTTTTTGAGATATAAACATATTATAAACATATTAAGGTGTAAACATATTAAGGTGCTAGGAATGTATAATTTGGGCAGAACAAGGTTAAAAAAAAAAAAAAAAGAGCCCATCTTTGACTTTATTCTTCCCCACTGGAAAATCTTTACAAATATCCAAATCTCATTTCTGCATCATGCCCACAGTGAAACCCAAATCCTTATTCTGCTCTGGTTGTACACACAGCGTCAGAGCTGGGCAATCTGTCTCAGGTTAATCTTGACTCTAGGATTTTCGATTCCCTGTCCTCCTGTGTTCCTGAAGCTGTGCCCACCCACACAGGGAGGATAAAGAGGGATCCTCTCTGTCTTCTGTCTGCTCTCTTCCAGAAAATGTGGAGGGCCTGAAGCCTGCCTATCAACTCACAGATTCCAAATGTGACCTCACTGGGTAGTGATGACATCATAAGTCAACACAGGGACACCATTCAAATGTAGGGAAAACTCCCTACCAGTTTTCTACAAGATACTAGTGTGTCTGGTTGTCTGGAAAAGAGTGTGGCACCAGATCATCTTTATTCACACGTTCCTTTTGTACTTGCCACACGCCGCCCAACCTCCCCAGTCATGAATAGGATCGGCACCCCGGTACCCACGCAGCAAGCTAGAGTGTCCCTGCTTATTGTGGAGGCAAAAGTGAAATGTCATTTGCGGGCAAGCACTTAGAATGCCTCTAATCTTTATCAGTTTAGCTTTCTCCTTTGCAATACAAGATGCTTCCTTCAGAGTGCAGTAGAGTGCAATAGAGTGAGTCTGTAGTTCTCTTATGAAAGAAGCTGAGGTGGAATGAACACTTACTCCCAGGAGTTCAAGACCAGCCTGAAAATATAGTGAGACTCCCATTTCAGAGAGAGAGAGAGAGAGAGAGAGACAGAGACAGAGACAGAGAAAGAGAGAGAGAGAGACAGAGAGAGAGAGAAGGAAGGAAAGAAGGAAGGAAGGAAGGAAGGAAGGAAGGAAGGAAGGAAGGAAGGAAGGAGGGAAGGAAAAAAAGGAAAGGTGCTACGTTAGAGACTTCCATAATAGCTCAATCCAAGTGTGCTTTTGCTGCTAAGTGATAATTTGAGGAAGAGTTATTGAAGGCCTTTCATGTACTGCACCTTAAGACTCAGACATCTTTACTGAGCTGCCATGGAGACACAGAGATCTCTCAGTCACATTCCTGTTTGAGCTGCTGAGTATAAGGGAAAGGGTGATATACAACTGGGACAGAAAAGCCCAGGAAAACCGGGTGTGGTGGCACACCTCTGTAATCCCAGCACTTGGGAAGCTGAGGCAGGAGGATCATTGCGAGTTCGAGACCAGCCTGGGCTACAAAGTGAGCTCAAGGCATAGTGAGACCCTGTCTCAAAAAGACAAAAAAAAGAAAAAAGAAAAGCCCAGGAAAAGAGAAAGTACTATTAAGACTAGAAATCTAACAACAAAGTAGATGAGTAACTTGGGTTGGTATGAGAGGTCCAGTTGGCCAAATCTTGGTACTCAGAAACTGAGTGGTCCCATTTTCAATTATTCCAGGTTCTCCTGTTCTCTGTGTGAATGGGGAACAGATATTGTGGTCTCTTGCTGCTGTTAGCTCCACAGAGACTATTACAGTGGGCATCCCTTCCTAACAGATCTATTGAAATTAAGGCCAACTGTATGTTTGGATTGGTGGACGTTAGGCCAGAATGTGCACGAGAAAGGGAGGTCCTGGCAGCACAATGTTTAAAGAAATGACTGATCAGTTCTGGTTTCTCTTCTAGCAGCATTACCAATCAGAGCTACTCCTACACCTGTTTACCAAGATGTCCTCTGCCAAAGATGTGGAGACTCAGGTGGGTTACCATATTACCTAACTAACTGGCAGCTCCTGGGCCTATGCGGAAGCTTCCATCATCACCCTAGCAAAAGCCAGAGCAGAGAAGCCAGCATACAGGTGGCCCTGTGGGGATCTTTCCATTATAAACCCAGCAAAGGCCAGATATGGTAAGCCTGCATTCCAGAAAGGTCCCAAGAAGCCTTCATTTATAGCAGAACCTACCCAACACCTAGGCTGCCCTAGTCCTAAAATGTGCCAGTTGAGCAATGGTGACAACAGATTGCTGCCTGAGTCACTCTGTTGAGAGAATAAACATTTGATGTCAGGAGAGGGTCAAGGCCTCCACTCCAGCGAACTCTACTGCCCACCACTGGAAGGAGGACCTGAGCCATTCTTCCTGAGCCTTCCTCAGCCAGGAGTCCCTCTCTCATGCTGACTGGCTGTGGGGAAAGGAGCCTCAAACACTGGTGTTTCCAAGGACAGCCTGCTTTGAACAACAAGTTTCTATCCTGGAAGAAAGTCTGATTTTCTCCTGTTCAATGCTCTAAAGTCTCTTCTGCACGCTGCAAGCTGAGGAGGAGTCAAGTGCAGAGTGGCCTAGGGAAAGCTTGATCTACCACATGGATGTCTCACCTCAGTCATACCCAGCAACCTCCTGCACAAGGCAGGAGGTGTCCAGGCTTCTACATTAAAGGAATAAGCGGGGGCTGCACAAGGAGGCTCATGCCTTTGCCTTAAAAGGCAAAAAAAAAGAGCCCCTGAAAAAAAAAGAAAAAATTCTGGGAACACCCCTCAGGTTTACATGCTCCTTTCTAGTTATTTGAGATATATTGGTGAATGCCAGCTTAATCTGCTCTTAGCAAAGCACTCACCAATTAAAGGATGAGATATAAAATACAATATCAAGGTTTGGAGCTATATCTCAGGGGTGCTCAATCTGAAGCACCAGTAAAATTTTAAAAATCAGGTTATTATAAAGCCACTATAAAGGAAAGCATTGTGACTATGGAAAGATAAGAAATGCCATGTTCTGTTCCACTAGCTAGTTAGGAAGGCCCTTTTGATGAGAGGACATTTCAGCAGAGATGGAAATGAGGGAGCCATGCAAATATCTGGAAATAAAGCATTCCTGAAGGAAATGTGTGGGGTGTGTGTGTGTGTGTGTGTGTGTGTGTGTGTGTGTGTGTAAAAGCCCTTGAGATAGAGTCAGATATAGTGGTAGAGACCTGTAAACCATGTATACAGGAATTTAAGACAGGCAGATCATGAGTTTGTGGACAGCCTCCACTTCATTCCCAGCTATCATCTTAAAAAGATGAGCCAGGTGTGCTTGTATACATCTGTATTCCCAAAAGTATGTGACTAAAACAGGATAGTTACAGAAAATCAGCAAGTCAACGGCCATACCACCCTGAAAGCGCCCGATCTTGTCTGATCTTGGAAGCTAAGCAGGGTCAGGCCTGGTTAGTACTTGGATGGGAGAAAATCAGCAGGGTAAGCCTGGCATGGTGCATTCCTGTAATCCCAGCCCTCAGGAGGCTGAGGCAGGAGGATTGCTGCAAATTCGAGGCCAGCCTGGGCTATATATATTCGAGGGGCAACCTGAGCTATACAGCAAGATCATGTCTCAAAAAACAACAACAAAAAAAAAAAAAACACAAACAAACAGAAAACCAGATCAGCAGTATAACTGAGTGACCCAGTGTAGAGGTCTTATGTTGAATTTCCAGTGGCACCAAAAAAAAAAGAAAAAAAAGTCCTATGTAGAAATGAAGCTGAACTAGTCTAGGAGCTGCACTAAGTCTAATATGGCCAGGAAGGAAAGCTGTGCTTGGAGAGGTAGTGTGGGCCACGTCCCCTGGGGTAAGGAATAGGGATCTTGTTTTAGGTGCAAGAAGAAGCTATAGAAAGGGTAGAGAAGAAATTGACCTGGTGCTAAAAAGACCACCCTAGCTGCTGTGAGCCATGGCAGTTAGATACTGGCAGTTGCCTTGAGAATGTCTCTCAGCAGTTAAGGGGACAGTTGGTCCTGGGGAGTGGGGGTGGGGAGCAGTCACCAGAAAACCAACAAAATACGTTGGGCCTGCGTCCCAGCCCCACCTACGTCAGCAGCCCAGAACAGCAGTCTCAGGTAGCACCATCAGCCACCCACAGCACAGAACCCTACTGAGGCATCCCACCCTGCGCACAGCACACTCATCCTGAGGCGCCACAGCACAAGGCTGTAGCTCCTCCCCCTGACATGCATAATCAAAAGGCCAGGAACAATTCTGTAACTCAAGAGTTACCTTAACCTGGGCAAGAAGAAGGAAGAACAGAGCCTTGGGCTCCCAGAACATCCTGACTGAGAATCTCAGTTAACTGCCCTCTCTTAGTTACACTCCTCGTCACTGAGACACAGTACCTGACACCCACAAATTAAGGGAGGAAAGGTTTATTTGGGCTCACAGTTTGCAGAGGTTACAGTCTGTGCTTGCCTGGCTCCACAGCGGGGCAGAGGAGGCTTGCTCACAGGCATGGCAGTTAGCAAGCAGAGAGACACCAAGGGAGGAGGGAGGGAACCAGACTCTTCCAGGCCGTGCCCCCAGTGGCCCACCTCTGGAGACCACTTCGTACTTCCCAGCATCACACTGATCTATAAACTCATCCATGGACAAATCCACTAATGAGCATCACATCCCCAGGGCTCAATCACCTCCCAGAGCCCCACCTAGGAGTGCATGAGGCATGGGGGGGCCATCTAGATATAAACCCTAACAACTGCTTTCCATGCCAACTGGCTATGGGGAAAGGAGCCTCAAAAACTGGTGTTTCCAAGGACACCAAAGTTTAGCTATTCTGGAAAGAAGATTTGATGTTCTCCTGCTCAACACTCTGAAGTCCCTCTTCACACAGAAGAAACACCTGTCTGCCCAATCTACTTGCCCTCAAGTCCTCAATCACAGCCAGCAACCACCAGCACCAAGCAGAAGGTCTACGTTTCCACACTAAAAAAGTAAACAGGGACTACACAGGGATCCTCATACCCTTGGTCTTAGAAGGCAGAAAACAGGGCCCAGGGATATAGCTGAGTGACACAGTGCCTGCCTGGCAAACGCAAGGTCCTGAGTTTGATTCTCACTAATGAAGAAAGAAAAAAGGCAGAAAACAGAGCTGGGGTTGCGGGGATCTGCTCGGGGGGGGGGCAGGAAAGGTGTGAAGAAAGTCCAGGAACATCCCTCAGGTTTACATGTTCCTTTCTTCTCAGCCCATTGTGGCATAAGTAGGTTTTAGTGCTTGGTAAAAAATTTTTCTGTAAGATATTTGACTGGAAATCCAGCTTGTGCAGGCCAATCCTCAAACTTCCCACTTCCCTTGAAATACATTTCTACATGTAGTTCCTGCTCTTTTAAGGCCTCTGCTGGCAAAAGGGATCCTTGGATGCAGTTTCTCACAGTGTGATGCCTACAATGATGCCTAGACAACTTGCGGGGGAAAATAGGCCATTTCTTTTAAATGTATTTAGCATGTATGAGGCCCTGTGCTCAAAGCTAGGCTTGCATAATTGTATGTGTGCATGCGTGTATGTGTAAAGAGAAGTAGGACTGAGAAGATGTTGGACCACCTCTCAATCTACCCATACATATGTCCATTCATTCATCAAGTACTTATGAGCACCTGTCACACATCAGCCACCGCATCACTGTTGAGGATAAGTTGGTAAATGAGAGATTTGAAACTTCTCTTGCCAAAGCACCTGCCAAATAAAAGATGAGATAGAAAATACAGTATCAGGGTTTGTGGTTATACTTTAGGGGTAAAGGGCCTAGCATAGGGAACGATCCGCATTCATTCTTAGAGCACCAGCAAAATAAAATTTTAAAATGAGATTACTATAAGCACTACAAAGGAAAATAAAACATTGTGAATACAGAGTAATAAGGAAAGCCATGTTATACAAGCTAGTTAACAAGTCCTCTTTGATGAGGGGGCATTTTGGCAGAGAGGGAAATGAGGGAATCATGTGACTATCTGAAAGTAAAGCATTCCTGAAGGAAACGTATATGGAAAAGACCTTGAGATAGAGCCAGGTATGATGGTAGAGGACTGAAAACCATGGCCAGCCTTGGGTACATTCCCAGATATTGTCTAAAAAGAAAAAATCCAAGTGGGCTAGTGCTCTTCTATATTCCCCAAAATTTATGAGACTGAAGCAGCATGATCACAGGGTCAAGACCACCACCGTAACTGAGTCACTCAGTAAGACCTTGTAAAAACAACAAGGTCTGGTGACGTAGCTGAGTGCAAAGGTTCTAGGTTAAATTCTTGATAGCACAAAAGCAAAAAAAAAAAAAAAAAAAAAAACAAGTCCCTGAGGTATAAATGAGGCTGAACTATTCTAGGAGCAGCTCAGAGGCCAGGAAGGAATGATAGAGAAGAACAAAAGATGTGGTTGGAAAAGTGTGGGCCTTGCTCACTGTGGTAAAGAATGTGAATCTTGCTTTAGATGCAAGAAGATATGCAGAAACATAAAGAGGGTAGGAAAGAAATCTGCTCTAGATTCTAAAAAGCTCACCATAGCTGCTTTGAGCCATGGCAGTTAGGTACTGAGGGTTACCTTGAAAATGTCTCTCTCAGCAGTTAGGGGGACAGTTTGTCCTGGGGAATGCTGGAGGGGAGCAGTCACAAGAGAACCAACAAAATAGGTTGAGCCTGTGTGTCATGCCCACCTACCCTAGTACACCAGAACAGCAGTGTCAGGGGGCGCTGTCAGCCACACATAGCACAGAGCCCTAGTGTGGTGTCCCATCCTGTGGATAGCTTACTTATTGTAAGGTGATAAAGCAGCAAGACAGTAACTCCTCCCCTGACATATATACTTAAAAGGCCAGGAAAGGTTGTGGGCTAAAAGGAGAAGCAGAGGCCCCCTGGGCTCCAGAACTGTCCCTACTGAGAGTCTCAGTTAACCCTCCACAATTATCACGAACTGATCAGACCCTCAATCTCCTAAAGGATTGGGCAGCGAATGGCTTCAATAAAAGAAGTGGTATGATTTTTGAGGCGTCCAAGAAGCTCAAAACTCTCTGGAAGTGGAGACAAAGAGCTTCTCCAGGCAACCCCTATTTATTTAATTTTCAAACAAAGGAAGGGGATACTGAGGCAAGCATGGGAACTGAGGAGGACCTTGGGAGGTCAGTGCAAAGACCTCTCCAAGCAGTAAATTTTGCCAGTTAAGGGAACTGTTTGATCTCTTAAGGTTGGCAGCTTTATTGCTCTGGAATAGAGAGTGTCAGCAGCCCACATCCTTGACTACCTCAGCTGTGGTGTTAAATTGACTTCCGAGTATTATATATATGAGCTTTTCCAGCACAGCCAGAGGTCCCTGTGTTCAGCATCTTAACCCTATACAGTCTGGACTTCAACATACAATCTCTCTCCTCCCTTCCCCTCCCAGCCCTTCCCCTCTCCTTCCCTTCCCCGCCCCTCTGAAACTTGGTATAACTGGAGCAGATTTTCAATTACTGGACAGGTCATGTTGCCAATTTCAAAATACAAGAAAACAGGCTCACTTGGAGCTCTTGGGAACAATAGATACCCAGAACACATACAAGCCAAGGGAATTTATAGGATGAGGACCTGGAAATCTATACTTTTAAAAGCCTCTTGTAGTCACCACACTGGCACACATCTGTAGTGACAGCTACGTGGGAGTTGGAGGGAGGAAGATTGCTCAAGCCCACAGGCTGGAGGACAGCCCAGACAACATTTTTATAAAAATGAATGAATGAATCATTTGTAAAAGATTCCAACAACTACCAGCTTATAGGAAAAAAGAGAGAGAGAGACAGACAAACATGTAAAATGTCACCATGCGATACATTAGCAAACTCAACAACATAGAAAACTCACCTGGACGTGGAAGCCAACATGTACAATCCCAGCAATCAGAAGGCCGAGGCAGAAGGATCTTGAGTGAGAGGCCAGCCTGGAGTCCATAGAAAGATACTGTCACACACACACACACACACACACACACACACACCCCAAAGAAAAAGTATAATGATAAAAGCATCTCAGGTGCAACCTGATGCTCATCTAAATGGGCAGCAGTGAGACCTCAAATGCTCAGCTACAGAGGGTAAGCTTGCTTGAGGGAACCACAAAGCCAGGCCAAGGAGGGAGGCCCTGCACACACAAACAAATGCAGCGAAGAATCTGGGATGATGCAGCGTGCCTGTGAACAGCATGTTTCCAAGTGTGGCCCACAGAGACTTGTCCTGCCACCTCATAATGTGCCGGCACCAACGGGTGACCAGCAAAGGCTATCTAGACAAATGGAATGATGGAAGGGATCGAGGCCCCTCCTGGTGAGAGGGACATTGCCTGGAAGAGGAGGGCTCTAAGTAATCTCCCTGTGGCTTAGCCAGCTGGGCACCACTGTGTTCCTTTGCCTAACCTGCTGCTCAGTTTTCTCATTTTGAAAGTGAAAGTAAAACACACTTGTGTGCAGAGTAGAATGGGCTGGCACACCTTGAACTGATAGCACAGTTCTGAGCACTGAGTCTTTGGGCTGCTTGCACACTCAGTCTTACACTACGTCCTTGCAGCGGGGAGAAAGAGGTGGCCACAGCCCTAAACATGAAGCCACAGGAGGATAATGGGTGGGTGAGCACCCTTGTGAGCAGGAGGCATTGGGCTATCCGGTCCATTCCCCGAAGCCCTGCCTAGTGAGCTGCTTCTGGCTTTGAATGAGAAGCAACACATCAGCATTAAAGGGTAGACTTTTCCATGACCCATGAAACCTAAAGTGGATTTTGAATTTTAACGTTGTATTATTTCATGATTACTAACATACATCATCTTTTTGGATTCCCTTCAAAATTATTATCCTGAGTAGGATGAAGTCAAAGGATTCATATGCTAAGCACCACATGTTTTCCAAAGACTCTTGGTTGTAATTTTTTGTGCTGTGATGAAATCCAGGGCCTCGGGAGTGTGAGGCAAATATTCTACCACTGAGCTCTATCCTGAGCCCATTTGCCGTTTGTACAGGACATAAGTGAAAAGATAAGGCTGACACTTTATGTTATGTCATTTGGCTATAAGTGTGCCTCAAATTTCATGGAAAAATGGGTCTTTCATTCTTGCTTTGTTAAGTCATTAGAGATCCTCATATGCCTCATAGCAACTTCCTTCCACGGGTCTGGCACCTTCAAAAGCAATGAGCTTATCCACACAGTACTCTTTGATATACATATTGACCCAAACACAAACAGCATGGCATCCCACTGCTGATCAGAACTTCACTTACTATCACTGGTACCTTGATTTTACCTCCATGTTTGTCTTGAGAACTCATTTGTAAAACATGAATCTTCTCTGAGTACACACACAGGGAAGAAAAGTATCGAGACAACTGTGGTGGATTGACTAATGGTCAGCTTGTAACACCCAGCTGAACTGAATCGGCGTGGCACTGGGTGTGGAAGGCCCACCTGAGCATCACTGACAACAGCATTGTTATGGTTTGTGTCTTGTGTCCCCTCAAAGCCACATGCAGTCATGGGAGTCCGTGGAGCCAGGGTGAAGCACCAGAACATCTGGTCTCCAGAAACAGCTCAGATAAACACATTAAGCCTGTCGGGCACCACATGTGACTTTGCTCTAGGGACATTGTCACTGGATCCTCTCTAGCGCCTGAAGTGAAGCAGTACCTGGCTGCAAGGGGAGCTCAGCAGTACAGATGGACTCAAGACACCACTCGTCTTCCTCAAAGAGCAGCCCAGGACCACTGGACGGACAGGCTGGCCAGGGTGCAGAACAAAATGTGGGAGTTGCAGAGGAGGTTGGGCAGAAGAAGAGGCTAGCAGTGCAGTAGTGGTTATCACATTTCTCCTAGCAAGATAAACATTTGCTGCCTTTGGAGGAAGAAAAATGTGCTGTCCCTTCAGAATGGGTGGCCACCACACCACCCTGAACACGTCCAATCTTGTTGATCTCAGAAGCTAAGCAGGGTCGGGCCTGGTTAGTACTCGGACAACAGAATGGGTAGCCTCAGCTTTGTGATCGGAGGCCATCTATCTTCTGACTTACAAGACTATTGTTTTCTTGGGAATTTGACTGTGTCCGTTATTATGGGAGCAGATCTAGCGCTACACTCCAAAAGAGGCATGAGACCCCCGGGGCTGGGGACCCCGAATGGACATGACCATCATCTGGGCAACCCCAACTAGCAAGTAACCCCCCATTTGCACTTACGCCTGCACTTGAGCATGTGAGACAGCCTGTGCACCTATAACTCAGCCTGACTTTTACTTCCTGAATATTCTTGCAATGCACTGGACCTAGTAGAGGTGCGTCAGCTCTGCCACTGGAATAACCTTGGTCCTGTTTCTTCCATTCTCTCACCCACTCCTCTATCAGCAGCTACTACAACATTGCAGAGGTGAGGAATTGGAAGGACTCGCCCCTTCTTGGTGGCAAGATTTCCTGTCCTACCCCTCCCTGACTCAATAGCCCCACCAGCTGGAGGCTGAGGGTATAGCATGTGCCAAGGCCCTGTGGTAGGAGGCAGCTAGTTTAGAGCATGAGGAGTTCCACGAGATTGGAGAGACTGATGGGAGCAGGCTCCTCAGCAATTGAAAGCCAAAGAAAAGAACTGGTATATCCTAAGTACACTGGGAAATCAAATAACTTCAGGTAAGAAAATGACCCTGTTTTTGACTTTGGTGCTGAAGATGGAGCCCAGGGCCTTGAACATGCTAAGCACTCACTCTACCACTGAGTCACATCACCCACCTCTGATAGGGGTTTTTTAAAACAGGTATAGGTATAGCCAGAATTGGTAGAGCACACCTGTAATCCCCACCATTCTCAGAGTTTGAAGCAGGAGAATTGCAAGTTTTAGCTCAGTATGGGCAACTTAATAAGACACTGTCTCAAAAAATGGGGTGGTCGGGGGTGTACACCTGAAAATGTAGCTCTGTATGAAGACCCTGGGTTCAATCTCCACAGAAGGAAAGGAGGGAGGAAGAGAGGAAGGAAGGGAGAGAGGAAGGAAGGAAGAGAGGGAGGAAGGGAGGGAAAGAGGGAGGAAGGGAGGGAGAGAAGGAAGAAGGGAGGGGAGGAGGGAAGAAGGGAGGGGAGGAGGGAGGGAAGGGAAGGGCTTCTCTGTGGGGAACAGTCTAGAGACCAGAACACCAGGAGAAAGGGGGAGATGGAAGCAGCCTCTACTGGGGAAGAGCCAGAAGGAACAGAAAGCAGACACAAGAGATGTGTTGAGGTTGAGCCAGGAGGAATTGGAAATGCCATGATGGGGAGTAGGGTGGGGAGTGAGCCCCTGCGCCTCTACCTTTTGTCCAAATCTGCCCACTGCTAGCATATAGCCTCTGCCCTCAGACTGTGGGAGGTGGAGAGCGCCCTAAGACAAGACTTTACTAATGTATTCTTTTTCCCTGGAAGCGACAGGGCAGAGATGGCCGTGGGTGAGGTTAAGAGGCAGACACCCACCTTGTTAGCTAAAACCTGCTTACCACTTGAACACGAATGTTTAGTTCTCGCTGGGTGTGTTCGGTTTCTATGATTGGCTTTGTATGGTTACCTCAAAGACAATGTTTGACTGAAGTTGAAAGTTATGGAAAATTATGTTTCGCCTAATCTTTTTGGTTTGGAGTTTTGTTTCTGTTTTGTTTTGTTTTGTTTTTGTTCTCTTGCAGTGCTGAGAATTGAACCCAAGGCTTCACACATAATAGATAAGAACTCTACCACTGAGTTACATCCCATGTCCCTTTTACTTGATTTTGACATAGGGTCTTCATGTTGCTCAGGCAGCCCTTGAACTTACAATTCTCCTGCTCAGCCTCCCAAAAAGCTGGAATTACAAGCATGAACCCCCACACACAGCTTACAACTAATCTTCTACAGAGAGAGTGACTCAGCATAGCCTATCTCTCTATTAGGCTAGAGTTTCCCCCAAGTCCTGAGATATCAGACATTCAGCCCCTGAAAAGTTTAAAAGCCTCAAAAAACCTAAAAACTAAATTCTCTCACCCACTCCTCTATCACCAGCTACTACTTGTTTATTTCTGTCTATGTCTTCCCTGTTCTTCAAACCCGCCACATCCTGCAGGCTATCAGGAGTGGAACAGACATGCTGTTTACCATCAAACCCACATCTTTAACCTAGAAACCAGCAAATCCAAGAATGTCTCCTCCTCTTTGTCACTTAGCAGCATAAGACAGGGTGGGGGTTGCTGACCAGTTGTGGGAGGGAAGAGACCCATGTCTATCTTAGGGTGCAAAAACCACCCAGGGCCGGCACATAGCCTGGTGTCATCTGAAGTGGATTCCCAGTGTCTGCAATGGGCCTACTCACAGAACCCTCCAGCTGCAGAAGGCAAGGAGCTGGCCTACCCCTCACACAGTTCTGTTGATCTGCCTTCCTCCAGGACAGCAGGTACCAGGCAACAACAAACACACAGCTCCTAAATCCATCCAAGCTGGGAAACCCCCGCTCCTGGGTAGCTTGGAACCGCTAGTCTCTTTGACAATGTTTGCTCATTTCCTTTTTAGAGGGTTGTCTCGCCTCTCCAAGTCCTCATGCACTGGTCTTACAGCTTCAGGATTCAGGGTAGAATCTTGAGAAACTGAGGGGCAAGAACAAGAAATAGGAAAAAGTCACAGCATGAGTTTGGGCACTGCTCCCAAAGAATCTTGGTGGCAAGTGAATGAGGGGATGTGTGCCCAAGTACATGGGCATCTGTGAATGTGTTGGAGGGTTCCTGGAAGAAGCTGTGGGAGATGAGGCCCCAGGCTGGAAATGGGGTGGGGCCTACCAGGCAAGAAAGGGAACCAAGCCCTTGAGGTTACTGTAACAGATAAAGCCACAAGATCCACAATGTAAGGCAGGGGTGCTTACAGAACCCTGTGTCCAGGCCTTCCCTTGAGACCCATACATCTGACCTGGCTTCCACACTAAGGTAGGAACAATCCCGGTAATTGGGTCAGCCTGCAGCCCCTGGAGGAAGGTGCTGGGGTGGAGGTTCTGCTGCACTGGAAATTACTTCCTTTCATTCCACCCAAATAGCTGTTGGAGTTCCTGCTCTCCTAAGTGGGCATTCCCTCGCCCCCTCTAGATGCTCTCTCAGTTCTCATCCTGATTAGTCCTTCATGAGAGTCCTAGGCAGGTAGAGCCTCTTCGGAGGGAGCCCTTTCCTGAGGCTGATGTGGACTCATGAGGGAGGGTCCCCCTGACAGTCTCCATTTGCTGGCTGGAGTCCCCAGAGATGGACATGTGGCCACGATAAAACAGGGAAGAATAAAATCAGGGTCCAAGGGTCCCTTCCTCACTCCAAAGTCCAGGAGGTTAATTCTCCATTTCCAGAGAAGGTCTCCTCCCACCCTACCTGGAAGCTCGGAGAAACCCAGACTTCAGAACACTGTGGTCACAGAGACACCTGTGGCCTCAGAGAGGCCAGGGGTGGGCTGTAGGAACCGGAGGACACGATGTGGTCTGGAAAGGTCTCAGGGTCTGAGGCCACGCTGTGGGAGAAGGACCCCAGGGGGCTCTCTGGGAGAGCAAACCCTAGAGGCAGCTGGAGAGCCACCTGGTTCTCTCTCTCTCTCTCTCTCTCTCTCTCTCTCTCTCTCTCTCTCTCTCTCTCTCTCTCTC